TTTATGTTTAAATACATATTACTAATTTATCTCTGTATTAAAAATTTTGTCATAAAATAATGAGTTTTTAGTTGAAGTGACCTATACTTTGACGATGATAAATTGTATTAATATTGAATTAAAATACCAAGTCGATAGACGAAGTAGCGGGCTGAAACTAGCGTAAGCATATATTTTGTCCGAATGAAATTATACATATATATAATTTATTATGTCAATATATAATATATTTTTAATTTATCACCTTCCTCGTGTTTCCTTTAACGAATTCAGTCAAAATTTCACTTGACTAGGTCAACGGGAAATACGAATTTTTAAATAAAATAATAAAAAATATATTTCGTTGATATTGTGTAAAGTGATATATCAAGAGTATATAAAAATAACTTAAAACCAGATGTTCTAGAGGTTGTAGATTCGATTTCTGTTTCTGAATTTTTTATTATTTTCATATTATGTTTAAATATAAATAGCCCTAGAAGTTTCTTTTCAATTTGGTTAATAGAGAGAGGACCTTGGACAGTGGAGGTGAGCGTTTAACGTTAGATAGGGTCCCTTAAACCTACACCTGGGTCACAAGTCACAGTCACTGTTGAAGCTCCTCTCACTACAACGATGGACCCGACACACGCATATGAATACATTGAATGATGAGAGGTTTCGTCTCTCTATATATATTAAACCTACACCTGGGTCACAAGTCCCAGTCACTGTTGAAGCTCCTCTCACTACAACGATGGACCCGACACACGCATATGAATACATTGAATGATGAGAGGTTTCGTCTCTCTATATATATTAAACCTACACCTGGGTCACAAGTCACAGTCACTGTTGAAACTCCTCTCACTACAACGATGGACCCGACACACGCATATGAATACATTGAATGATGAGAGGTTTCGTCTCTCTATATATATTAAACCTACACCTGGGTCACAAGTGCCAGTCACTGTTGAAGCTCCTCTCACTACAACGATGGACCCGACACACGCATATGAATACATTGAATGATGAGAGGTTTCGTCTCTCTATATATATTAAACCTACACCTGGGTCACAAGTCCCAGTCACTGTTGAAGCTCCTCTCACTACAACGATGGACCCGACACACGCATATGAATACATTGAATGATGAGAGGTTTCGTCTCTCTATATATATTAAACCTACACCTGGGTCACAAGTCCCAGTCACTGTTGAAGCTCCTCTCACTACAACGATGGACCCGACACACGCATATGAATACATTGAATGATGAGAGGTTTCGTCTCTCTATATATATTAAACCTACACCTGGGTCACAAGTCCCAGTCACTGTTGAAGCTCCTCTCACTACAACGATGGACCCGACACACGCATATGAATACATTGAATGATGAGAGGTTTCGTCTCTCTATATATATTAAACCTACACCTGGGTCACAAGTCCCAGTCACTGTTGAAGCTCCTCTCACTACAACGATGGACCCGACACACGCATATGAATACATTGAATGATGAGAGGTTTCGTCTCTCTATATATATTAAACCTACACCTGGGTCACAAGTCCCAGTCACTGTTGAAGCTCCTCTCACTACAACGATGGACCCGACACACGCATATGAATACATTGAATGATGAGAGGTTTCGTCTCTCTATATATATTAAACCTACACCTGGGTCACAAGTCCCAGTCACTGTTGAAGCTCCTCTCACTACAACGATGGACCCGACACACGCATATGAATACATTGAATGATGAGAGGTTTCGTCTCTCTATATATATTAAACCTACACCTGGGTCACAAGTCCCAGTCACTGTTGAAGCTCCTCTCACTACAACGATGGACCCGACACACGCATATGAATACATTGAATGATGAGAGGTTTCGTCTCTCTATATATATTAAACCTACACCTGGGTCACAAGTCCCAGTCACTGTTGAAGCTCCTCTCACTACAACGATGGACCCGACACACGCATATGAATACATTGAATGATGAGAGGTTTCGTCTCTCTAAATATATTAAACCTACACCTGGGTCACAAGTCCCAGTCACTGTTGAAGCTCCTCTCACTACAACGATGGACCCGACACACGCATATGAATACATTGAATGATGAGAGGTTTCGTCTCTCTATATATATTAAACCTACACCTGGGTCACAAGTCCCAGTCACTGTTGAAGCTCCTCTCACTACAACGATGGACCCGACACACGCATATGAATACATTGAATGATGAGAGGTTTCGTCTCTCTATATATATTAAACCTACACCTGGGTCACAAGTGCCAGTCACTGTTGAAGCTCCTCTCACTACAACGATGGACCCGACACACGCATATGAATACATTGAATGATGAGAGGTTTCGTCTCTCTATATATATTAAACCTACACCTGGGTCACAAGTCCCAGTCACTGTTGAAGCTCCTCTCACTACAACGATGGACCCGACACACGCATATGAATACATTAAAAAATGAGAGGTTTCGTCTCATCGTTTATAACTTAATTTAAAGTTATTACAATTTCAATTAGTATATATCCACAGGAAATTATGAAGAGAAATGAAGATGTTTATAAATAATATATTTTATTTTAGAATATTTATTACATCCAAAATGAAAGTATCCAAAGAATTTCTTTACTTCATGAGTTATCTATCATTGAAAGTCACGTCAAAATAGATCCAGCCGTTTTAAAGATTATTAAGAGCAAACAGAATATAATTAAATTTGATATAATTACGAACCAGACGTTAAATGGTAATAAACATGTCTTTATATTAATTACTTTGATAGCGCAATTTGTTTTAATATGTACATAGTCTAGGCGTATAATAATTTTGAAATATTATAAATAGTTTACAATTTTTCTGCAATAAACATATATGGCAATGTTCAAGTTAAAATAGGTTAAAATATATGTATTTGTAATTACCTGGCATTTGTTAAATTATGTTTTTAATTATACGGTATATAAAATAATGTTTACATAATAATATTTTTCAAAAAAAATATATTTTTTTAAACACACGACACAATTTTTTTTTTAATATCTCAGTCAAAGATATTCATATAAATATGATGTACATGTCAGTTAACAAATCTTCTATTAAAATAATAATTAAATATATATATTATATAAAAATTAAATAAAACGTAAGGAAAATAGTAATTATTTTGTTACATACATAACAAAACAACGTGTTCTGTGACTAACAACTGTCCGTGAGCTGAGGAAGTTTTTAATAAATTTTTTTTTCCAGAACGTTCTTACGAGCGCTCCACTTTTTTTATCTGTAACACGGCAAACAAGTTTTTAAGACGAAAATCGCTATGCAATTACTTGAAATATTTATATTTTACTAGTTTTTGCCCGCGAGTTCGTCCGCATTAGTTTGGTCAAGAGTAATATATGTAGGTATAGCTGACCACGCGAACTCTATTCCGTCTTACAGGCCATAAATAATCAGGTTTTTCCTGTTTCAATCAAACAGAATGATTGACATATTAGTTAGTTGTCAAATCTAATGTCAAAAAAAAACGTTTGCATGAGAAATAGAAAAGGGCTGTTTTTAGGGTTTGCCCGGCAATTATTCCAATTTTTCTCACCTTTTATACCTTCCCTGAACCTCCACGAACATTTCAAGACTAAGATAAGATAAATCCGTTCAGCCGTTCTCGAGTTTTAGCGAGACTAAGGAACAGCAATCCATTTTTATATATATAGAAGATATGTATATGATTAATCAAAAAAATTATCTAAAATACCTGTCATATTTGTTATTTAATCTGTTCTTCATAGTATATTTTTTATCTAGGTAGATGAATTTTGTTATATTTTGACTACATAATTATATTTATTATGTTATATCAAATATAAAATAAGCGGTTTTAAACGACGATAAATTATAAAGTTATTTGTGACGTATTTCCTTTCCCCGCCATTTACGTCAGCATACCTTATTGTACGTATTTCCTTGTGTATGCATCCTTCGAGGTCATTGAGCTTAAGGTACTCTAAAATGAGGTCTCATTTAAAGATTGCATCTGGATGCCACATTGAAAAATCCATATAGGTTTTTTTTAAATTCCATACAACAGTTTATCAGTACATTAATCTGACCTGTAGCTGGCTATGACACGAAATAAATCTTCTGTCACTTTAAATTAATAGTATAATTATTTTTCTAACACTTTATTGATATATTTTCAATGATAAAAGAGTTTGAATCTTAGTATAAAAACATTTGAATCCCTTAAATTCGATGCTCGAATTTATAAACTAGTTTTTAATTTATAAATATTTTTGTTTATTGTTCTAAAATTATTAATCACAAAAATTAATACATTTTTATATCAATTATTGTACTTACTTTGATTTTCCAAACAATACATTTTCTTTGTTATATTTATTCTTATTATGCTGTTTATAATAATTAAAACAATTACATACGTATTGCACTAAAAATATACATAATTAATAACCAGATACCGAATCCTTTGAAAATTTTCCATTGACTCCAATCACAAAGTGAATGACTCAATATTTATATACATGGGAATCCGCAAAATCCGTATCAATACCACTATCCAAGAACTTGACACTGACCGTAGCTGGCTCTATATAAAATTTACATTCGCATAATCTGCAATAATATAACTGGTTTTATTCACGCTCGCTTGATATGGTGAAAATTTTATATAAACGCATGCTGTTGTGGCTGAATGTCATTAGATGGTTCGACACCTGAGCGTTGCAGTCACAAACAACATTTATAATCTGTGGAATGTCACTCGAGCGCGGCAAATTTGACGTTTAGAAAATATTAAACATCAGTCATCAGTGTATTGTGTTTAGACATTACAGTGAATTTATAATATTGTGCTAGCTAACAGAAATATTACGTTAAAATTTAACCTCATTAAATATATATTAAAGCTGACTGTTTAGAAAAAAAAACATTACTATTCCGTGTGTACAGACGAGTTGATGTATTGTAACGTAAAACATGAAGGAATTGGTGCAAATTTGGAATAGGGTGACCGGTCGCCAGTATTCCTCTGTTAATGTACAGGACAAAGAGTTGAGGGAATTGAGTAATAATAGAATAAAAAAGGGTGATATAGATACATCGGTGTTCGAAGCAAATCTATCAGAATGTGAGGGTTTAAATAACAAATTCAACGAAGACTACCAATTCAACGAACGTGAAGAACAAATCATAAATCGTCTCTTCACAAGACGAAGAAGCTCTCAAAGTATTACAAAACAACCGAATCGTAAGTAAATTAATATTTTACAAATATAATATTATTACAAATGTATTTGCGGAAGGGCTGTCTATATAACGCGTAAACAAATTCTTAAATTCTTACGTAATAAAATCGGAAAAGTTCTGTTTGAATTTAAAATCAAAAGGTTAAGATTGATATCCTGGTTCATTAATTATTTTTATTACATATAAAAAAAAACGTATTAATTGAGATTGTTTTGTAGAATAAATTGTATTATTGTAGCGATTTAATTTCGTTTTTTCTTCCTTTTTTATCACGTTCATGATATTTTGCCTTAAATTTTAAATAAAAAACTATATTTTATATCATTAAACGAGATTTTTTTAATAAAAAATTCCGTCAACTTAAACGGTATTGTTCCGTGTTTATCGTTTTTTAATATATAAATTAAAATATTCAAAGACATAACAATAAACTTTGTATGTGCAAAGAAATATAAGTTTGTTGATATAAAAAGAAAAATTAAAAATTCAATTAATGCAATTAAAATAATTACAATAATATGTTCGTATGTTATCGTTAATTCTATGTTTTTAGTTCCTTTTTTTTGTGTTTAGATAAAAATCTGTTGACTTACCCCATGTCTGAATTAAATAGTATTTCATCCATAAATCTGCATACATTAAAGTAATCACGTGTAACTCAACGTGAAACGTGAAAATCTACGTAACTTTGAGATACGAACCCGTAGTTAGCGTACAATGTACATTTAAAATTATATATATACTAGCTGACCCGGCAAACGTTGTTTTGCCATAAAAAATAGGTCTTGGTGATGAAAAAGTAAAAATTTTGGATTGTACGTATTTTTAAAGCTACATTATAAAAAATAATAATAATAATTAAGGGTGAACAACCCTTACGAATTTGGGGTATGAAAAATAGATGTTGTCGGACCTATTCAATATGCTCACGAAATTTCATCAAAGTCGGTTAAGCCGTTTCGGAGGAGTTCTCTGTCAAACACCGCGACACGAGAATTTTATATATAAGATAATAAATAATAATTAAACTAAATTACAGTTTTACGTAAATCTTATTTTACGTATTAGTAGAAACGTAATATCCTAAATATTTATATCGTTTTATCCACGTTTTTAATTTCAATGACCCATAGTATTCTTCTTCTACCTTGAAATTTCCCAGATTTCGCCAGGATCTGCCTTACATGTTGTGAATAGTTTTTGGCTAATTGTTTTTACGACCGGCCGCCTGGCTGACATCAACCCTCTTTGGAAATGTATTAATCAGTGATGTCTAAATACTCTTAGAAAGTACATATGACTCGGAAAAATCACATTGGCACTTGCCAGTATCGAACCCGCGCCCTCATGCATGAGAGGCCTTTAACCACTAGGCCACCACTGACACAGTATTATTTAGTTTTAAAATATTCCACTATTATATAGTAATGTATGTTTGTTTATCAACATTATGTATTATATAGGCTATTTATATATTAATATGAATTTAATTGATTTATCTATTATATATGATAAATATATAATTTGTGGTCAAATGTAGATGAGTAGTGACTTGATTTTCGTTATTCCCATTGTCATTTTCGTATAATTAGGTATGTTTTGCTAAAGTTTCATCGTAATTGGTTCAGCACGATTGTAAGAAGTGCTTGAATATTAATAGATTTTTAATTAAAATCAATAAATAATAGTTTGTAAATTTTAAAGTTGTATCAAAAACAGTTTAGTAACTTTTCCGTGACAGTAGTGAGCATTTAAAACTTTTACTTAGGTATATATTTCTATAAAACACCTTAACTATATATATATAATTTTATTTTAAAATATTTTAAATAGTTTTTTTTTTCAATGACTAGCTTATACTTGTATATAAAAAGCATTTATAAGTGATTTTAAATTCATATCTTAATTTCTAAGGTACATAAAAATATACCAAAAGACAATTAAAATTTTGTCTAAATTAGTTTACCATAATAATTATTAGTTTAATCAAATATATATTTAAAAAGTCGTAACATAACATCTTTTGTGTACCGCAATCGGTTAAATGTATATTTTTTGATAGATTTAATTCAAATAGATCAAAATTAGTATATATATATACTTTTTTAAAATTTTATCTATATAGAGCGTATATTCATAAATAGGAATTTCATAAACAGTAAGGTAATTAATTATTATATTCCCAAAGAGGGTTGATGTCAGGCAGGCGGATCGTAAAAAATATGTATTAGCCAAAACTATTCACAACATGTAAGGCAGACCCTGGCTAAAGCTGGGAAATTGGCAGGTAAAAGAGGATATGTAATTATTTTATAGAATTGAAACGTATTTAGAAGATTTAAGGAATTAATTCGTCTTGTACAAAAATTCTTATTAATTCCCCAACTAGACGCTCCAGAGTTATAAAAACAGAAATACATAACCGGTCTTAATTCCGGATACAAGATTGCTATGCAAATTAAAAATTTTTGCTGGCATTGAAAGAGTTTTACAGTAAAATCAATTAGGTATATAAATCAATGAAATACATAGTTTTAGCGCGAGTCGGATTAAATAAGTTGGTTCCGTATAAATAAAAAAATACATTTAAAGGAATAAATCTTCGTTTTTTAATTTAAAACGTCTGGATTTTATGAGATATGTGCCTAAGACAGATGGACGTATAGTTAGAAACAAAGTTAAGTAAAATCCTATACTTATAATATATTATAGAAAACCATTTTTTTTAATTTTATTCATCTATATGAAAATTGAATTAATTTCTATTTCATATATTGAAGATTAATTTAATTTCTAGTATAGAAAAACTAACATAATCTATACAAACATACATACACACCTCTAAGAATTATATATACATATATATATACTAGCTGATCCGGCAAACATTGTTTTGCCATATAAAAAAATAGGGGTTGGTGATAAAAAAGTAAAAATTTTGGGTAGTATGTATTTTTTAAAGCTACATTATAAAAATATAAAAACAAAATTTTTTGTCCTATAATAAATAATTAAGGGTGACTTAGGGGTATGAAAACAAATGTTGGCCGATTCTCAGACCTACTTAATATGCTCATAAAGTTTCATCAGAATCGGTGAAGCCGTTTCGGAGGAATCCTCTGTCTAACACCGCGACACGAGAATTTTACATACGTTATTTGATACGCGTGGATGTCAATCGTACGTGATGTTTTCAAATTAAAGAATTAGTTATCTTTTAAAGTCACGTAATTATTCTTAATTTTTTTATTAACATTTCATATATATACACGAATCCTTTATTAATCCGAGCTCCATAAGTTACACCTTACTACGAGTATGTATCGTTAACCTAAATACATACAGTTTGCAGTATTTCATTCATAAAACTATAAATTCGTCGTTTAGTTTAGCGATGCTAACTGGTGCTAAGGTTTGGACTGTAAATATTTAAATATATTGACTTTATTGAAGTTACTTAAATTCATAATATATACATACAATAGAAACGAAAAAAAACAAAATTTCGTTAAATTCAGAATCAAAAGTATATTTTTCTGCTTACAAATTTTTCTGGTTATAGTGGTAAAAGATGAACATACAGTGATTAATTCAAATTTCTTTAAATATTACTTCTCTTTATATACGGACTCTCTGAGGTCGAAATTAAGAATTTTTGAATGCTTTTTATTTATTATTTTTCGCTTCACATTATTTTAGTTCCATATAAAACATAATTATAATATAAATATATATGAAAGAAAGTAGTGTTAGTTACACTTTTTATAACTCAAGTTCAAGTATATATTATATATGTTAAGCAGGAAAAAATATATATAACATTTATTTTTAAAATAACATTATATACAAAACACTTAGTCATTAAAATCAGATGACAATTCTCAAAGAATATGAAAAATATAATTTATTTAATTACACCCTCGTAATATAGCACGTAATTATGAGATTACTAACAGTTGTATTGTATTTAAAATAAACTACAAAACATACAGTATGTCAGTTTCCTGAAAATACCATAAATAATTATAAAACACTAGCATTCTGCTCGCAGCTTCGCCCGAGTGGAGTTCGGTTATATCGCGTTCCCAAGAGAACCTTTCAAAAGTCTGGGATAAAAACTATCCTATGTTCTGTCTCAAGGTCAACTCTATGTCTGTACCAAATTTGATTAAAATCAGTTCAGTGGTTTAGGCGTGAAAGCGTAACAGATAGACAGACAGACAGAGTTTGTACGTTCGCATTTATAATATGTATTTGTAGGAATATCTACTTGAAATATTTCTATTTCTAATTCATAATACTTTAATTATAAGGTTTTCTTGGCTAGAAATTAAAATTTTTAAATTTTTCGTTACTAAATATTCCCAAAATAAGTTTCGACGATCGAAACTTATTTTGGGAATATTTAGTAAATTCCTAGTACATATATAGACTATCAGAGCTACCTACTGCTGAGCTGCCTCTTCTCACATGGAGAAGGTTCGAGCATTAATCACCACGCTTGCTCAAGACGGGTTGGTGATTTCAAACTTATAATTTGATATTATAAGTCTAGAATTTCTCACGATGTTTTCCATCATCAGTCAGTGATGTCTAAATACTCTTATAAACTACATATGACTCGGAAAAATCACATTGGTACTAACCAGGATCGAACCCGCGGCCTTATGCACGAGAGGCGGGCCTGTTATTTATGCCATCACGACCTATTTATATATGAGGGACCAAATAAAACCTGATTTAAATGTAAATTCTATTAATATTTTGGTCAGTTTCGTAATATTTTCCTGTGTGTATGTCGTTTTTGTAGTTATATATCTATGTCTGAACGCGTGGTCATAGGATCTAAGATTAAAGGTTGGTCCTTCATCACGATATTGACTGATTTTTCCACATTCAGTTGAAATTCTGATTTAATTATTAAATATAATAAAAAAAATATTTTGATTAGTCGCAAAATACATCGTTAATTTAAATAATTATTAAAATTTTATTACAGTT